TTTAATTTTTCATTAAGCTTAATGCTCTGAAGTCTAGAGCTACTGGAATTAAAAATTAACAGCTATTGCATCTGTAAACAGGTACCCACGAAAACAGGGGATAAACACCAGTGTGAGAATCAGGAATAAATGTGGCTGACACCTAGATCTAAGATGCAGGTTGACAGTTCTGTATGTATATACGTCCGAGGCCTGTAGTCATACGTCTCATGTGCATTTCTGTATCTGCCACCAAAGTTAATAGCTTAATATTTCATCTACATAGCAGAGGCTGCTAAATCACTGCACAGCTTTGTGATCTGCCCCCTTCCTTCCCTCCAAACCAGCTTATCGTGCCGGTGACCTCGGACCAGAGAGTTCTCAACCCTCAGCTGGGATTTTAGAATGCCCTCAGAAGGTGTGGGTACAACCTGAGAGAGCAGTGGCCAGAGTTTGGGGTCGGCCAGGAGCCCCCCCAGCTCCTCCACCTTCCAGCAGGTCCCTTCAGTCCATCCATCCCTCACTTGTCCTCGGGAAAGCGCTTGCGTTGCAGTTCTGCGACAGGCCGGGGGGTTTTGTCACCTCCTCCAGACTGCAAAGGCCTCTGCATGGCTACAGACTGAACAAGGACTGGCTTGTGCAGGCTGAGGGAAGATGTACAGTCAAATTTAGCCTGAATCCTAGAATCGTTTAGGTTGGAAAAGACACTGAAGGTCAGCAAGTCCAACCCTTCACCCAGCGCTGCCAAGGCCGCTGCTAAACCACGTCCCTCGGCACCACATCTCCACACCAGGACTGCCACCAGCTTCTCCCCGTGCCCCATCTGGGAAAGCCTTCTGAGCAGAAATGCACATCTTCACAGGGACGAGCAGATGAACAAGGCCAGACTCCCTCCAGCCTCAGGTAAGGACAGGGACCTGCTGGAGCGGGGCCAGAGGAGCCCCAGCAATGCCCCGAGGGGGGAACCCCTCTGCTGGGAGCCCAGCAGGAGAGAGTTGGGCTGGGGCAGCCACAGAGGAGAAGGCTCCAGCTGGGGAGACCACCTGGGGGCTGCCAGGACTGCCAGGGGCCTGCCAGAAAGCTGGGGGGGGACTTTTGTGCAGGACCTGTTGGGACAGGACAATTGGGAATGATTTTAAACTAAAAGAGGGAGAATCAGACTAGAGAGAAGGAAGAAATTTTTGATGTTGAGGGTGCCCAGGCTGCCCAGAGAGGTGGTCGCTGCCCCATCCCTGGCACCATCCCAGGGGAGGTTGGCCGGGGCTCTGAGCACCCTGCTCTGGCTGCAGATGTCCCTGCTCCCTGCAGGAGATTGGACTAGATGACCTTGAAAGGTCCAACTCAAAACATTCTGTGATTCAGTGACAAAGTAACGATTTCTTGAAGCTTCCTCACCAACACACACTCCAAGGCCACCCTCCTTTCCACGGGCAGGTTCCAGCCCCCAGGAATCACCCACCCAGCAGCTGGGAACACATGTGGTGCCTCTGTACAGTTTCTTTCTTTAATCTCTGCCATCCACCTGCACCCCCAGAGCCCGAGTCCTGCAGATGCTCTTCGAGAGGAAATCCTGCAAAGCCCTGCCCAGCCACAGCCCCTTGGTGCCACCTTCAGCCACCAGAAGACTCCTGGTCCAAGGTTCTCTGTTCTGTCAAGGCAGGTGAGGACTCCCTGCTGCAGCTGCATTCCAGATCTAGCCTGTGGAAGCACCAGCTCTGGCCTGGGCAGCCCTGGGCATGCAGGTTTCCTGGGCTGAACAGGAACGCCACTGAACAGCAGCCCCAGAGCCTATTTTCAGACCTCCAGAAAACATGAATTAATTCAATTTCTGTCTTAGTTTCACAGAATTTTTAACTAGGCCAAGAGGGCAACTCATAGCTTGGCTGGATGCAGGACTTAAGAGTACTTATGACTATCATCTCTTCCAAACACTATGTCTCCTCCAAAGGTCTGTCTTCCAAACCCTCTCCCAAAGCACAACAGGAGGTGAACTCAGAGCAGAGATTTCTGATGTGTGGCAAAACACCAAGCCTGGCCTTTAGTGTTAGTTAAGAATTGAAGTAGCTATATTATTTGCAAATACAAACTCTAAATCTCCTTCTAATGATAATATATTTAAAGAAAAGTCCTTCAGCATGACCTTTGTTGCTTTTAGAGACACGTACACCACAAAAAGGCTGCTGGAGAGACCTGGTCAAACATTTTGCTGGGAAGAAGTCTGGGATTTAACTGAAAAGACCTTGGTAGAACTAAGGAATTGCTCTTTGGCTCAGCATTAGGAGCTTTTTCCAAACAGATTAAGAACATTCAGGAGCTGAGTCTCACAAAAGCCTCTGTTACAAAAGCCTAGAAGTAGGGCCTGCACCAACCAGAGCAGCTGGTTCATCCTTACAGTCAGGTCATGTGTCAGTTCTTATGAAAGAGGCCTCAAGATTTGTTACAGGAAAAGGTCTTCCCTGATAGTTATGTCCAATCCCTGCATCATCTCATCACTTCCCTGGAAAGTATGTGCTGTAAGCAAAGGCAATCTTGATGTTTATTCCATTTGCTGGCAAGGAATGGAAACTCTGGAAAGAAACTCAGTTTCTACATAAATCTACTCATTAATTTCTTCACTTCACTTAATAAATTTCTTCTCAGCCAGTCCATGACACTTACTCTTCCCCAAAAAATGTATAATGACATGTCTTACCTACAAGTGAACACAACACAAAGTTGGGCTGAGAGAAAAGAATATGGTTTTTAGTTTAGGGTGTTTACAGTCAGAAAAATCCAGAGATACCTTCCTGAAAAGATACACCTGAAGTCTGAGGTATTCTTTTTTTCCCCAGAAGATCCCAGAGGAGGATGAGGAGGAAGGATGTCTGAAGGTCAATAAACTTAGCAAACCCACCTAATGGGGGACATCCCTGCTCACTGCAGGGGGGTGGGACTAGATGACCTTTTGAGGTCCCTTCCAACTCAGAGCATTCTATGATTCTATGAAACTTATTCTACTTTATTTGAGGTAGAAATATGTTAGAAGATGGATTTACCACCACTCAAGAGCAACCCACCAGCACTCCAGACCTGAGCTGTTTAGTTGCTTGTCCACAACCAGCCAATACAAAGTCCAAACTCAGACCAGCTCAAATTGGGATAAGCTGCACAATATTGTATTCTTATCATTTTATTTGCTTTGAGAAGGAACTCTGCTCATTAAGGAGCCATCCATATTCTGCACTATTTCTGAAATGGGATTTTATGTTCTGAAATAACATAAAAACAGAGTCTTCCAAAAATGGGATTGCCCAGTAGGAACTGGGTGTTACTCAGTCCCTCACCTCTCCAGCTTTGCTTTCATTAGGAGTTTCAAGTGGTGTTCAATGAAAATCCACCTTGTTATCATTGATCTCCTCTCTTGGAAAACCCCCACTACTGCTGCAAGAGTGCAAACTTCAATCACTTGTACTAAAAACAAGTAGTTCCAGTTTAGTCTGGAACTAAACTGAACAGGGGTGACCACATCTGCCCCCAGGCTTGGTGGATGAACAACACCACAGGAAAGAAAGTATTTTTTGTTTCATGACAAGATACAGTCTGAAAATAGTCTTCCTTCATACTGCAAGTATCTCATCTGAGCTTCTGTAACACTCTTGTTTCTTAGCTGGGCAGCAGGCAGAGTCATGGATATCATTTATGTCAGTCATTTTCTTTTTTAGAAAGCAAAGATTTAGTATAATTTGTAACAACCAGGTTAAGTAGTTTTCCAGTTTAGAATGTTATCTTCTCTCCTTGGAACTCTGACCCTAGTGAATTTTCCTTTAAAATATGCATGTTGCAACCTACACATTTATTCTCAGCACACAAAAAGCCCATTTTAGACTGCAACATACCCACTAGATTTCATCTCTTGGCAGCTGCTTTACAGTTTGCTTACATTCTGTTCAAAAACATTTTGTTTACTGTAAATACTCGTCATGGACAAACAATGATGCCCTTTTTTTGTGCTGATCACACAAAATGATAAACTGAGTTCTACATAATGCTGCCCATTGAGCAAGGAATTTTTTGTATTAAGTTGTTTTAAGCAGAGCTTGTTTATGTAAAGTAAATAAATTTTATGCCTCACCATGTGATGATAATGTGACATTCCATCTGTCACATAACAGAGCGGTCCTAAGTTTTAAGACTTGAGCATAACTAATTAAAAATAATTATGAAAAACCACATCCAAAACAAAAAGGCCAAGTAAAACATCTCCAAATGCTCTTCTTTTATCACATACTTCTTTGCCTCTCCTACTACTGCATTTTCAAGACTGCAAAATAGAATGTATCAAAGCAAATCTGAGATCAAAACTTCATCATAACTGGTCACCTTAAACTCATAATTCTATTCTCCATCCTACTTCCACAAAATATGTCATTTCTCATCTCACAAGGACATATGCTTAGAAAAAAATAAATCCTGTGTTTATTGTCCCACCACCTTCCCAGCTAGACAGGGCACTAAAGTGGCTGCATGGGCCAGGCTATATTAAATGCCACCAACTTCAAATATTTTCACAGCACTAGTTATGAGGAAAGGTAATAGTTAGGATTTCACAGGCCCCTGGAGCATGCTAAATACCTCACAACACATAGAGGGTGAAAAAGGTTTTGTGCAAAGACTGTATGTTGCTTGGCTTATACTCTGAAAGTGCAGGGGGAGGGAGGAGAGTGAGGAAGGACAAGGGTAACTGGGATACATAAAAGGTTTGTAAACTCTCTAGGACCTGACTGCACTTATTTCTAGACCACGTCTCAAGTGCAAGACCATTAATGATTTCTTCTCCTTGAAATACCCAATACAATGAAAGCAGCAGAAAAGATGAAATTAAGATCTGAGTAGTGCAAAAGCCTTCAGTAAAACACATTTGATTATCACAATTTTCACATACTAAAAGTTACCCAATTTATTTCAAGTGGGAAGAACTAAGGAGTGGAATAAAAGGAATCATCAAGACATCTGTTACACAGGAGTTAGAAAAAGTTCCTTACCTTGGGCAGGAGGTTTTCCATGGTTTCTTTTCAACAGCTGCAGTTCTTCTGCTTGACTCACTATTGAAGAAATAAATGTGAAATCAATAAATGCTGCCCTAGAGATTTCCAAAGAAATAATACCTATGCTGCCTTTTTCATTTTCAAAGCATTTGGACTTTTCTTCAGGTGATGACCAAACCCCACTTAACCATGTCATTGTGCTGAAAAAAATGAACAAAAAATTTTCAAACTCAACTGAATTTTGAGACTTTGTGCTTACAAGCCTCATACCACATTATGTTGCCAATTTTCTCTTCTAGTACTGACATGGTGCTTTGTTCCTAATTCAGAGATGATTCTCTCTCATTGTGAAGGCAACAAGAAGAAAGTGGATGTAACAGAAAGTCCCAACAACAGGTTGGACACCCCGTTTGGGGCTGGGCCATCTTGCTGCCCTATCCACAACTAGGGTAGTAATGTAAACACAGGCTTTTCAGAAAACTTCCTTTTGTATAGGAAAGCCTCTGGTTCAATGCATTACAGTGGGGAGGAGTACAGTGTATACACATGCAAAATGGAAACTGAATGGCCACTGGAATACCAGGCAGGAAAGAAATGGGAATTCAAACAACAGTAGCTGCTGGAATGGTGAGGTGCATAAATTCCACTGTGCCTAATGCATCAGAGGAGTCACAGCACTCCTTGGGAAGAAAAATTCTCTAGCACCCATGGTTTTACTGTCCACCTGTTTCTCAAGCCCCAGGTTTTGCTCTCCTACAGCTAATTCCAGTGGTTTTACACTCTGCAGAAAACCAAGCAACCAGACAGGCTGTAGAATGGCATACACTGACAAAACATCACATGTGCTGCAGGTAAAGACAGGTGGTTTAGAGTCACAGAATCTTTCTGGTTGGAAGAGACTTTTAAGATCATCATCTTGGCATGCTCATACAGAGACTGGACACAGGGTCCACACATCTGCTTATATTGTTCAAGCTCCCTGGTCAGCTGCAAACTAGATTGCCAGAGGTTGGCATGAAGAGTCTTCAAGAACAAAGTTATATCTGCAGACCTTTGAGGAGTAGTGAGAGGTGTATGCAGCCTTAGACGCACGCCTGCACCCAAACATGTTGCCTGGGTATGGATAAAAGGTGCTGCTGTTGTGAAAACCAACAAACAAACCGTGTTGAGGCATAAAGACTGGGGCCCCTGGGGTGCCTACAGCTGCCTTTCACCACTCAGAACTCTTAAAGGAATGACCTAGTAAGAGAAATCTTTATTTCTCCTGCCCTGAAAGCAAATAAGTGTTTTTTTTTTCTCCTTCAACTATCCATAAAACAAGTTTTTTGCACGAGAGTATTTCCCCATCACATACTTCCCTTCGAGTTGCAGAGGTAGCTGGGAAGAAGAGAATGAATGCAATTTTTTTTGCTGCTGAGGATTCCCAAGTACCCCTGATTTGGAGTAAGGGTAAAGAGCAGCCTAGAAATGGGCATGTAGAAGTGAAAATTTTTGGCTTTTTGGGTTCCTTGGAAAAATACTACAGATGTGCCATCTGTCAAGTGCCTTTATCCCAACACAATAAGCATCTGGTATGTCCATCATTTCAAGACACATGAATAGCAAGTTTTAAAGCCTGGAAATTTATATTCAGCCTAATCCTCTTAACAGGCAAACAAACAAAACAACTTCCTTGCAGAAAGAGAAGAAAGGCGATGCAATCAAAGTGCAAACGTTTAGCCTAATCACTAGCTAACTACCCACTAAGTATCTAACTATTTACATAAGAAAAGGTGTTGCTCTTGCAAGTTTTCCCTCCCCATCAGTGGCTGTGGGTTAGAAGAGTGGCCCGTGGGGGCTGCCTCGCTTTTATGTCCCTGCTTGGGGTGCACAAGGACATTCAGGGAGCATTTCTCCTGACCAAAAGAACTCACCTGTCACAGTCCTGGGGTGTAAGACTCCCTTATGACACAGGGTGGGGTATGACTCTAGGAAACATTTGGGGTAGTCCTTGTTAAATTGTCATAAAGGGGGATAAATATTATTGAAAATCCTCCTTACTTAGCACTTGGGTTTTCTGCACTTCAGCACTCAAGGAGCAAGACGAGTTGGAGACACCAATAATATTTTCAAGCTCTCTACTGCCCTCTAAAGCCTGGAAAAAGAATAATTAAAAACATTGTTAAATCTCAACCCTAAACCATCTCCTTAGTGGTCTAGAGCTTATTAAACACTTGAAAGAAAGAGCTTTTGGGAAATTTTTCATAAGCTATAAACGATGAGCGAGACTCAGCCTGACAGAAAGCCAAAGGGAGTAAGAAGTTTAGGGGTGTAAGAGCATAAACGACTGTTGCAAATGGCATCGAGGTGCCTTTTAAAGTGTTACTTAAAAATCTCCTGTTATTTACGCTTCATTCGTAAGTCTTCAGCTGTTTAAACAGATTAACACTTGATCCCCAGAAAAGCAATCTTGGCACAGGGACAAGCTTGCTGTAATATGTTAGCAAAATGGAAATCCAGAAGCATTTCAGATTCTGTTGAACACACACTGAACCAGCATTTCATGCTAGACCTAAAATCATACACGATAAAGGACTTTTCAAGAGCGTTTTCTAAATAAACGTTTCAATTAAAATATTTTAAGTTACTATCGTTTTCTTTTTGGTAAATAAATACTGTCAAGTCACATATGCAAGTAAAATAAATCAACAGAATACTGTGAGTCCACCAAACTATATCTCAGATACTGATATGCAGCAAGGAGCCTTGTGCTAAACTTATTTAGGAAACAAAACGTGACTAAAACAGGAAAGTGATTTTCATTTTAGCATGTATTAGACTCTGAAATGTTGATACAGCAGTGGTAAATTAAACAGTACAATCACTTCAACACGAAGGGATATTTAATCTTTAAGGACATAAAAATATGTGCACTAATAACTTATATTACAAATAATAGCTGAGAACTACTTCATATGCTTTTGTTCACACACAAAATGAGGAGTGATACAAATCAGAAATGGAGGACTTTGAAAAGGAACTCCTCTAGTTCAAAAAGGAAAAAAATCTACTAAGTTCTGGGTTTCTTCTTTTTATTTTTTTGCATTTCCTGGATTTCCAAGTCAAATCTGCCTGGTTCCAAGTACTTTATTTGCTTCCCTATTCCTTAAAACTCAAATGCTGCAAATATGAGTTTAATTCCTATTACAAATCCTATATTAGAAATAGATTTAAAAAATACATTAGTGTAAACCAGACCTGTAGGTTGGTCAGATTTGCTCTTATTTTCAGAATTCTAGCCACTGAACTTTTCACTTTGGACTGCAATTCCATGAACCTGCATAAAAAGTTAAAAGAAAACAATTTCACTTAGCCACTTGTTGAAAATCAGTGTTTACACAGTTTCCCAGAGTTTCTTCACATTGTAATCCAGATGGATCTTAGATAAGCTGTGAACAGATGGGCTGTGCAACCTGACTGTGTCACACAACACCAAATATAACTTCCCTTTGGTTAGGATTTATACATGGACTCCTAATTTTAAGGGTAGGAACTCAGGTTCAGCAATATGAGAGGATTTTGTTTGGCTTGTGGTGCAGGAAGACAATAGTAATAACAGGAATGTAACTCATTTGTTCCTAACAGCAGGA